ACAAATCATTTAACTTTGAAGAGGAGAAAAAAAAAATCTTACCGTGACAACAAACTCTGGTTTCTTGTAAAAAACAAAAAAACAGTGAACCTTTTTTTTTCTCTTCCGAAACACTTGGTGTCAGTATTTTCAACTATTTTAATAATTGACAATATTATTCGCGTTCTCACGCTGTAGACTTTTAGTAGCAAATTTTTGGTTGTTTCAATTTTTTTTTTACGTCGTCAAATTGCTATTGTAGTAATTAATTTGCTATTAATCCTTGCGTCTCCACATATCTGTTCGAAATGACGAAGGTGTTTTGCCGTAAAACTCTTGCGAATCCTTGTATTTCAATCACTTTAGGTGATTGTCTGCAGTGATATCGTTTCGATTCCGACGTCGCCAATCTGTTGTGTCGTGGCACAATAGTAAAAATAAGAAAATCAAGTCGACGTTGGTTTAAGGAACAAGTGTATTTAACATCACAGATACAAAGGTAGGGAACGGGTACTACCCAGTTAGGCAGTGTAGATGATTTATTCGTACAAAGGTACAAATTGTGGCACAAGGCCGAAAAGGGGAGGGGTAAAGGCTGGTCTACACTAACTATCTTATACCTAGCTAATCTGATTCACGACCCATCCATACATTACAATTTGCTCATGCACCACAAGAACTTATCCATCACCATTCAATCCTCCAACTACCATAATACCACATGCACTTTCGGGGAACCTACCAAAACGCGCCCCAATCCATAAAAATTTGATGATACATAAATGATATACATAAAATTCTAATAATGATAGAATGCAAGGGGAGGGAGATGCACCCAATAATAACTAAAAATAAACACAAACTACAAACTAAATATAACACATGTTAGTAGGGACCGTCCAACCCTCAAAAATAGAGAGGCCGTTGTATTCTGCCCAGGGGACAGAATCAAGAAGGGCGCTCGCTAAGGGAGTGGGAGAGGAGCATAAAATATTATACGGGCATGGGAAAATATAAAGCTGACCCAGTCGAGATGAAAAGGGGGCCAAAACAAACTGGGGAGGTTGTGAATCTCAACTTGGACCATAACCAAAGAGTAGCCGGGATACAGGCCAGGAACAACACTTACTCACATTAACTAGGTACACTGAAGCTTGTCTAACCTAACCAAGGGGAGGGTTCCACAGGAAGCCACCCCAATGTGCTATAGGTTGACCTAGAAAAAAAAAACAAAGCCTAGCCCCGGTCACGCGAACCAAGCTCGCCTCTTTCACCCACCTTTCGCTAAAGACTGTCGAATGCAATCGTTTTCTATCAGATCTAATCTTCATCTTGAGCTGATGCTCAAAGAATTGGATTAGATGCTGATAAGAAAGACAGTTGCCCCGCAAGACTTCCTCCATCCGCGTCGTCCAAATCACCATTCGAGCCGTGGCCATCAGCATCAGAAACACCATTCGTTTCTCCCCCGGAATACGGGGGTGACATTGTCACACGCGTATGCGCGATCAATGGACACAAGCTGTTCGGGGCGAGACGAGCCGTCAGCTCGCCGACATGGTCCCATAAGGGGCGGACCCGGGGGCAATGGTAGAAGGCGTGCGAAGCCGTTTCTTCTAAACCAAGACCACACCGTTCACAGTCTGGCAAATCCGCCAAACCCCATATGAAAGCCTTGTCATTGAGAGGCAGCCGATTCCGAGCCAATCGCCAGGTAAGCGAAAACTCAGGGTTACTGAGGTAATCCGCGCTGGCGCCCAAGACCAATAGGAGCGATACTCCTCCTCTGACAAGCCGAGCGTATCACGTAGCGAATCCTTCGCGCGGCCCTCCACTAATCCACGATAGAAGACCTTCATAGGCCGTGAAAGGTCACTGGACCAGGGAATGGCCTTCAAGGCCAACCGACACTCGCGAAGGAAATCCGATTCACCCGGGGGTTTACAACGGCGCTCAACCCGCGAGATGGGGGACTGATGGTAAGGCTAGGGAAGGCGTCTAACAATCCCTCCAGAATCGGATCTCCTCTAGTCAATGCGCGGCGTAGGAAAGCCAACCTAGAGGCACGGATGTGACTCGCCAAGGTGCGGCATTCCCAGCCCCCCATGACACGGACGTTTGGTGCAGACTCGTCTGTCGACCCTGTTCACGCGTCCCCTCCATAAAATGGAGGATAGCGATCGCTCGAGCACGCCTTTCTATGGTCCTTACAGAGAGGAAGTACGGACAATCGATAAAGAATCAGGGGGAAAATGTATGTAACCGAAGCGGCCCGGAAGAGCGACCCCCTTCCAGGCACCTAACCGCAAGCCGGACGACTTGTCGCGGTTTATCTTGGCCCCTGTCACCTTCTCGTACCGATCAAGCGCCTTCTGTACCGCTTCAATGTCGCTGCGGGACGACACGAAAGCAGATACGTCATCGGCGTACGCGGAAACCCTGGCTCGAGACTCTCCAGGGACGGCGATTCCACGTAGGGCCGGACTGCCGGTCTCGTCCTTCGGCCGGCGAAGGAGAGGCTCCAACGCCAAAGCATAAAGGAGAGGCGACAGCGGACAACCCTGACGAACCGACCTAGATAGCACGAACGCGTCCGACAACCTTCCGTTCACCTGTACCACTCGGATGCCCCACATTAAACTCGGCCTCGTGCCACATCTGATCGCGTAGGGAGGATAGTAAATACATTACGTTATAACGTTCTCATTCAGTTCAGATGTTTATAGAGTTGCTTGCAATGGAAGTGCATAAACTGTGGTCGTCACACCACACCAGTTTCATGAGTGACCATGGCTTGTGAAGCCACAGAAGAAGAAAATGGACTTAAATAGAAAGGACGTCATTTGACATTTCGGAGACACTTCCGGTCAACACTTCATCAAAAAGAGAACGTTGGCGGGTAGTAAAAGAAAAATTTTTCTATCTTATACTTTTTTTGGAACCTTTTATTTTGTTTTAGTCGTTAATTTATTTACAATTTTCCCTCTTCATTCGCTATTTAAATATTGTCATTGAGTATTTTGTTCTACGCGCCAACGTTCACCTTTTGATAACGTATTGGCCGAAAGGGTCCCATAAACGTAAAATGACGTCTTCTCTATTTAATCAAGAATATATATATATATATATATATATATATATATATATATATATATATATATATATATATATAAAGAAAGAAAGAAGAGTAAGATATATAATCCGGTGTTCTTATAGATATTTTTATTTTTACAAAATAGTGCTCAATGTAAATTTATATATATAAATGGCTCAAACACTAATATTCCATGGTTATAATTTATTACACTGGAATGGTAATCACTAAAAATTCATCAGACAAACCAAATTCAAAAAGAAATTGGAAAATATAACTCCGGGTATAAAAAACAAAATTTTAGTGAGAGTGTATGTGTCGGAGTGGCAAACAAGTGTGAGAGGGAAATGTATGAAAGTTCTAGAGAGAGGGTGTAATAGAAGAAAGAGGAACAACCAGGCCTAAAGTTGAAGGCGGGGATTAAAATTTAACAGAGAGAAGTTTTAAAGAGAGGAGTTATATAACAGTTTAAAGGAGTGAGATACAGATAAATATGAATTATTTTCAGATGCATAATTCACTACCGATTCGCTGACCAAAAATTAAGATTAAAAAACAGATACTGGAAACGTGTGAATACATTTGTGGTGACACTACGCACAATAAAAAACGATATGATCTAAACTTAAAATCCAACCAATTCATACTGCCGATGTATATGTGAAAATTTTCCATCTGCTTTGCATTACTAATCTTATGTCTACAAGAAACATTGACCACTAATATTATCAATATATATATATATATATATATATATATATATATATATATATATATATATATATTCTGAACAGACTTGCGGTATCACTTATCATTTGTGTGACTAGACATGCCATTGCTTTAAGCCAGGATCGAAATCCAATCGATTTCGTTTCATCTGGAGTCTCTCAACCTTTGGCCATCAGCTCACGCAGCTAGTATTTTAACACCTTATATATGATATATATATATATATATATATATATATAGAGAGAGAGAGAGAAAGAAAGAGAGAGAGAAAGAGAGAAAGAGAGAGATAGAAGTGTGGATACCCGTGCTTAAAAAGACGCCTTATTTTTTAAACAGTGAATCCACAGGTGTATGTTTTTTTTTCTGCTGGGTTTGTTTCTTTCTGTCGTTGTCTTTCTCTGTCTCTCTATATTCCCCTCTCTCTCACTCTTTGTATCTCTTTGTCTCTTTCTATCTCTTTGTCTTTTTCTATCTCAACCCATTTCTTTTTCCTTCACGCAACGAAGCTGACACTTTTTATTAATTACAGAAAAAAACTTCACAAAAATGACCGAGTTGATCATACGCTGTCTAAATGTGATTGTATGTCCGTTCCGCGCCAAATACTTCACGAATCAGCATTTTCATTTTTCTCCTCGTGTTGCATCATTTCTAAAACTAAAAAAAAAAATATGCTCGTTTTTGTATTCTCAGTCTAAGCCAATTGCGGGCTGTCGGTAAATGCTTGGTTTGCAAGGCTTGCAAACCGTGAAGATATTCGCAAGGCAAATGACAAGACATTTGAAAGGCCAGTGATCTCATTCTCTACAACGGTGAACAGAACAAAAATATTTTCTTCCTCGTTGCATTTTCATTGAGTTTGTATTAAATTAAAATGAATTTGGAACAAAACTAAGATTTTTAGAAAGAATGAAAAAAAAAAAAAACGAAAGTAAGAAATAAAGAATGGAATGTTACAAGAAAGAAAGGAATATAAAAAATACGAAACAAAAGATTTTTAGGAAGATGAGAAGAAATAATGGTAAGAAGGAAAACAAAAGAAAACAAGGATGAAAAAACGAATGTATGAATTAATTCCAACGAAAGAAAAACTGAAGAAATATGAATAAAAGGAAGGAATAAAGGAAAGGGAAATTAAGAAGGAATGAAGGAGTATAAAAGAAAGAAAGAAAGAAAGAAAGACAGAAAGAGAAAGAATTTAGGAAAGGAGGAAGGGAGAAAAAAGAAAGAAAGAAAGAAAGAAAGAAAGAAAGAAAGAAAGAAAGAAAGAAAGGAGCTCTAGAAATGGTGAAGAAAGAAAGAAAGTACAAAAGAAAGAAAGAAAGAAAGAAAGAAAGAAAGAAAGAAACGGAACTCTGGAATGGAGAAAGAAAGAAAGAAAGAAAGAAAGAAAGAAAGAAAGAAAGAAAGAAAGAAAGGGAACTCTGTAAAGGAATAAGGAAAAAGTAAAGAAAGAAAGTACAAAAGAAAGAAAGTGAGAAAAAAAATGGGACTCAGGAAAGGAGGAAGGAAGAAAATGAATGGAGAAAGAAAGAAAGAAAGAAAGAAAGAAAGAAAGAAAGAAAGAAAGGCGACTCTGGATAGGAAGAAGGCAGAAAGTAAAGAAAAAAGAAAGTAAAAATAAATAAATAAAATTTCCAACTGAACGAATGAATGAAAGAAAGAGAAAGAACAAGGAAAGGAGGAAGGAAGAAAATAAAGAAGAAAGAAAGAAAGAAAGAAAGAAAGGGGCTCTAGAAATGATGAAGAAAAAAAGAAAGTACAAAAGAAAGAAAGAAGGAAAGAAAAAAGGAAAGAAACGGAACACTATAATGGAGGAAGGAAGGATGTAGAGAAAGAAAGTAAGAAAGAAAGGAAAGAAAGAAAGAAAGAAAGGGAACACTGTAAAGGAAGAAGGAAAAAAGTAAAGGAAGAAAGTAAAAAAGAAAGAAAGGGAGAAAAAATGGGACTCAGGAAATGAGGAAGGAAGAAAATGAATTAATAAATAAATAAATAAATAAAGAAAGAAAGTAAAAAGAAAGAAAGAAAGAAAAAAAGAAAAGAAAGAAAGGCAACTCTGGCTAGGAAGAAGGGAGAAAGTAAAGAAAAAAGAAAGTAAAAATAAATAAAGAAAGTTTCCAACTGAACGAATGAATAAAAGAAAGAGAAAGAACATAGGAAAGGAGGAAGGAAGAAAATAAAGAAAGAAAGAAAGAAAGAAAGAAAGAAAGAAAGAAAGGGGCTCTAGAAATGATGAAGAAAGAAAGAAAGTACAAAAGAAAGAAAGAAAGAAAGAAAGAAAGAAAGAAAGAAAGAAAGAAATGGACCACTATAATGGAGGAAGGAAGGATGTAAAGAAAGAAAGTAAGAAAGAAGTAAAGAAAGAAAGAAAGAAAGAAAGAAAGAAAGAAAGAAACGTAACACTAAAATGGAGGAAGGAAGGATGTAAAGAAAAGAAAGAAAGAAAGAAAGAAAGAAAGAATGAAAGAAAGGGAACATTGTAAAGGAAGAAGGAAAAAAGTAAAGGAAGAAAGTACAAAAGAAAGAAAGGAAGAAAAATGGGACTCAGGAAAGGAGGAAGGAAGAAAATGAATAAATAAATAAAGAAAGAAAGAAAGAAATAAAGAAAGAAAGTAAAAAGAAAGAAAGAAATAAAGAAAGAAAAGAAAAGAAAGAAAGGCAACTCTGGCTAGGAAGAAGGGAGAAAGTAAAGAAAAAAGAAAGTAAAAATAAATAAAGTTTCTAACTGAACGAATGAAGGAATGAAAGAAAGAAAGAACTGTAAAAAGAACTAAAGTAAGAAAGGAATAAAGAAAAAAATGGATAACGGATTGGAATTGATAGAAACGAAAGAAAGGAAGGAGAAAGCAAAAACTAATGAAAGAAATAATAAAAAAAGAAGAAAGAGCAAATTAAAGAAAGTGAATAAAGCGAAGCCAACTGAAATACGAATTTCCAAATTTCTATCCCGAGCCATTGCCGATTATGTAGCCGCACATCCAAATTCACAATTTCAGTTATTCCAAAGCAGTTACCTATCTAAGTAGTGACAAGGCTCGATGTTGCTTAACTTCGTTGATGGTACGAGAATCGCAGTTTCAAAGTGATATGGTCGTAACACCTACACCAGAAAGAAGTGAAATGAATTCCTCATTCGATGATCAGATAAGCAAATGAATCGATCAACCTGCACCTCGTATATGAAAATGAGTGAAAACATCTGCGATATTAATACAGGTTTAGGGTTATACGCCGGATGAATCGATTTTTTTAAAATAGAGTAATAACATTTCTATTACGCTCTCATGTTCAAAATTCTTAAGTATATCATTATTAACAATGGACTTAAACGCCGGATATTTCGAGAACAAAAAGAAAATCGTTAAAAGAGCGCTTTGGAATGGCGAGAAAAATGAATCAGACAGTACGAAAGGAAAAGCAAAACTTAACAAAAGTAAAAAATGAATCGAATATATATATATATATATATATATATATATATATATATATATATATATATAAATAAGTATTTCAAATGTTTTCTCAAGTATAAATTTTGATAGAAAAATTATTTGAAAAATGTCAGTTTATATCGCATCTCGATTCAGCGTATTGGTTTTTCAAGTTTGGAAAAAAATCTTCGTAAGAATTATTCCCCCTCAGTTTTATTTATTAAGCAAAAACTTATCAATGAAGCATATATATATATATATATATAT